GCCCCGGCTTGAAAGGCGCTGAGACGGGTTTCATGACCATTTACTGTGGTCATCAGCTCGAGGTTGTTGCTTGTATAAATCGGAAAAAAGCTACTAAACTAGGCTGGGGTGTCAGACGGTAGTGTGGGAGGCGTGGTGTTCTTATTGGGTGGAGGAGCGTTTAGTGAGGTACGTGCTGGGCTATTGGGCGTTTGAGGGGAAACTGTGGAGCAATAAGAGTCAGAAGAGATCGATGTACTGGAGAAGTTAATGGTTCTGGGGGCCTTGGTAATCGGTGATGACAGCGGGGAGACAGGCGAGATGAAGCGCGTATTGGCAGATGTTGGGAAAATCGAGGAAGTTGGGGGGGTAGCACAGGTGGTAACAGAGGGGTTGGCAGTGGTAGTGGTTAAGAGAGGTATCGCCGGAGAGTAGCTCATGCGCAGTAACTGTTGAGAGATGCAACACTTGACCTTCCTGCGGTTACTAACGGTTGGTGACACTGGGTAGAACGAGTGGAACACCCCAGAGCATTGCGTGCAGACGGCCCTGGTGTGCGTTCCTAAAATAGGTGAATTACAGATATTACAATTTGGAGAATCAGGCATCTAAGCATGCGCAGAAAAATCACATAAACAAAATTGTCATGCACGTAAAGTAAAGTAGAAGTAAGAGTATATGTATAGATGGAGTAACAGCTACGTGGCAGGGCCAGCTACACTGTATCGCCGTTTACTTATCCAAGTATATCGTTGGGTAACAAGCGCACAGCTCAGCTTGACCGACAGGCAGACGTTTAATTGGTGTCTAGTGTGTTAAACATGCGGTTAGGCACTGTGCACACTCGGGCGGCAGAATTTGAAATACTATTCACAATCACTACGATCATGCAAGTCGACAAGCAGGGCGTGTGAGAAGGTCTCTGCGCAGGTGCCGTGGGCTAGAAGTCTGTAGTTAGAGCCGGGAGCCCCCATTAGGTTGGTTGACTTGGGTCGCGAGAAAGGGCCAATCAGCTGTGCTGAAGAGTTTGGCGCCTGAGAGAGAGAGAGACAGAGATACATGATTTGTGCGCGTGTACACGTATTTCAATACAGCTTGATACGCGTTTTTTAATAATTTCTACACACTAAAATAATATGAAAACTTATAATATATTTATTAGGATACGTCATAATAGCATCTAATGTGAAGCAACCACCCGAGAAATAAAATATTACGAGTGTCACCCAAATCAACGAGCGGCTACTGTAATTTGCATACTGTATGGGAACTATTATCATGTCAGTGATTCCAACAAAGTACAAGGCACAAAAACCTTGACTTATACCTTTGTTATCTGTCTAGAGCACAAAGACGTAAACATAACCCAGAAAGTTAATCACAGTACACTGAATGAGGATACAAGAATGATAATTGCACAACTCAAACTGCAATAGAAATCAGATCCAATATCGGAAATTACTAATGATAGTATAAATGAACAAAACGAATCTGTTTATCAAGACTGCAATAACTTGGAATTATTAACGATGAGAAACAGCTTGCTGGATGATCTCAACAAAGAATTAAAGGACAAAAACAGACTTCTAAAGGAACTACTGGCTAAAGAAAAAGGAACAGCTGAGTGAAGTCTCGAAAAGATCTTGTGCGAAGGTATGTACTAATACACAGTCCAAACCCAAAAGGGTTTCTAGTCTTATAGTAAAAAACTGCAATAACGATAAAAATAAAGCTTACATCACATCTTTAAAAACGCATTGCCTTGCGAAAGAAAAAAAATATACAAACAAACGGAATTAATAATAAAAAAGAGGATGAAATCATCATAAACTGCTTAAATAAAGAAAGCATAGACAAAGCTTAAAAGCTATAAAAAATAAAACGGCCCCCGGAATGTATTATACCAAACGAATCTTTTTACAAGCCCAGGATGAAAGTAATAAGGATTGATAGCTGGAATAAAATGGACGAAAAAGCGTTTGAAAGTGATATAAACACTTGAAAATTTGAAAATTTACAAACTAAATACCATGTAATGCATTCTTTCGAAATTGAAAAAACAAAATCTTACAGTGACATATTATGAATTACTCCAGAAGTACATAACTACATCAGAGAGAGAGCAAAAACAGGCAAAAATAGGATTCATATAGGTTATCAGAGCTGCAGAGTTTTCGATGATCTTAACATGAAGCCCAGCATGAACTATTCTCGTTTTGGATATGTCTAAGCGGAATAATAGGCTGTGTTGGATACTATGTTATATCTATGTATTTTTTAAATTTATGTTTTAAGATATGACACATTTTGCTGTCAGTTACCATATGGTCTGTGTCATAATTGGTACTATATTTTGTGTTACTGTAGATACAGTTTACACACTGAAAATTGTTCTTATCACATTTTGCCATAATTTGTGGTCCTGCACAATTAATACATGCAGCCTTGTTATTACACATTTTTGTGTTATAAAAGTTGCCATAACACCACAGTGTACAGATGCCATGATCTTGATAAAAAACTTTTATAGCGAACTGTACCTTTCTGCAAAATAACAGGAAATATAAAAATCACTGTACCGACGGTGATTTTAACATTGACATAATGTCTCTTGACACTAATGGTCAAGATTTTCTAAATGAACTCTTATCAAATGAATACTTGCCATGTTTCCAAGATGTAAGCAGACCCTCTTTAAGTACTGTAGGTGGAACTTGCATAGACAATTTCTTTGTTAAAAGCAATTATCTGAATTTCAAAGTATATAAAATGACTAATATTTTTACTGATCACTTTCCATTATTTTTAGCAATTGATTCTGATACTATTGAGACTAAAAATACTGAGACTTATCAAAAAAGTATTGAAATTATAATAAACTTAAATAGTTTTCATCAAACACTGATTGGAAACATATTTTAGACCTGCAGGATCCAGAGAGGGCAACTGATTCTATAATAATGAACTTACAAACGTTAACTTACTCATCAACAAGAAATAAAACTTTTAAAAAACTTGAAAACCTAGAAAAAACTGGATAATAAATCCTATCATAATCTCATGTGCAACTAAAAAATCTTTGTATCTTAATTGGACAACAGATCTCAACAATGACTATTTAAAAGTTTTGTATAAAAGCTATGTCAAGGTCCTTGACAAAGTGATAAAAGAAGTCAAAATTAAACATGACAAAGTGATGGTTGATCTGAACTGTATAAATCCTAGGAAACTATGGAACTATGTTAAAAAAAAGATAAATAAAAAAACAAAGACTGATAATAATATAATAAGTTAGATCATAGATAAAGGTAATAAGATCGGAAATCCTAAAGAAATTGCTTATTCTATGAACAACTTTTTTTGCAGCGTTGGTGCTGAACTGAGTGAAAAAATTATGTCGCCGAAAAATGCAGAAACAACATTAAAATTACCTCCGAGTAATAATCAGAGAATTTTGATGTATCTAACTAATAAAAATAAAATAATATTAACTATAAATAAAATGATTTTACTAAAAATATTTATAAATCAAGAAATATAAAAAACACTTCTATAGTTACAGACCAATTTCTTCAATATTAAATATGGCGAGAATACTAGAAAATATGATACATACTAGGCTTTACAATTTTCTTACTGAAAATAACATATTTAACAAAAATCAATATAAGTTTAAAAAAAATAAAGGCACACAAAAAATGCTCTAAATTGCATATCAAATAATATATATAAGAACCTTGATGAAAGTGAATACATAGTTGCCACGTTTCTAGATTGAGCCAAGGATTTTGACACCATCAATCATGTCTTACTGCTTACCAAACTTGAGAATTGTGGAGTCAGGAGTCATGTTCTCGAGCTTTTTAGAAGTAATCTCTCTAACAGAAAACGAAAAGTAAAAATCAATGAAGTATATAGTAATTTTCAGGAGGTCACCACTGGTATGCCTTAGGGCACTATTTTGGGGCTTCTACTTTTTGTAATATATGTGAATGACCTGCTTGAGAGCATGCTTGTTGATTCCATAGTTTTATATGTGAACGATACTCTTGTCCTATCCATAGAAATAAAGAAGACAGTGTCCCTATAAATTAAGATATAAAAATTGGTAATTATAAGCTGGAGAGTCGTGGTGTACAGGTATCTTGGTGTGACCTTTGATTACAATATGAAACGGGATAAGCATGCCGAAGCGACAGTAAGACAGACTAAATATCTGGCTTTCATTTTCTCGAAGCTTGTTAAATAAATGAATAAAAAAACACTTATATCTATGTATAATGCACTCCTCCACAGCTGTTTTACCTATGGTATAATAGCCTGGAGTGGTGCTTATAAAAGCCATACAGTCATGGCGCAAGCATTTAAGATAAAGTTTTGAAAATAATAAGCAGAAAACGAGATAAAGCGATAATATAGAGACCTTTAAATATAAAAAAATCCTTTGTATTTAAGTCAATGGGATATAATTACAGGTACTTGAAAAACTGTTTTGTGCAATCTTAAGGTATTACAAGAAATGAAAATTTAATATTACTAAAAGTTAGATTAGAAGTGGGTAAAAAAACAGTATGTATAACGTGAGTTCTTTCTACAACTCATTGCCAGAGTAGTTGAAGGATATGTAACTCAATAAATAAAGTGTAACTAAACAACTTAAAAACCAGGTGACAACTTATATTAAAATAAAGTAAGAAATCTTTATTTAATAGAGTTTGTACTGGTTTTAAAATATTGTAAGAAATGTTTATGGATTGGTGATGGATGATCTTTCACAGTTGACTGTTTATCGTTGAGAAATATAATAAATTTTTATACATGATTATTGTCATTTGCATACCAGGCCTATGAACAGGTATTTATAATACATAATTTACATTAGTAATCTCTTATAATTCTATAAGAGTTTACTAATGTAAATTGGTCTGCTTTAATAAATAATTAAAATAAAATAAATAAGTAAACTAATATAGTTTTATAAATAAGTTCGTCATGGCCCATAATTACTTCACCATACTTACTCATTAGCGTAACGGAAAACTCCTAAAATATCTACTTCTCTACAAAGAGCATTTATTAATGGTAGTTTGACTTCATTTGCTCCCATACCAACAATAACAGCTTTTCCTCCTGTTTTTGTAACCTGAAATTGCCATAATGTTGAGTGTTATAACTGTTTCATTCAATACTTGTTTATTATATTTTCATAAGCTTATCTATCAGACTTAATAATACTTATATTTATTCTCAATGTATTTTTTTCATACTTTGTGTAACTGTTTTAAATCGTAGATAAAAAATCTTGTTAAATTATTGACCGATATTGTTGCACTCATCATAATAAATAGTTAGGATCTAAAAATTAATGTAATCTCTTCAGTATTTGGTGTTCAGTTACTTGCAGATTTTGAAAAAGCACAAGGCCATTTTGACGTCAACCATACGTAGAATGATTCACGTTCTCAAAATGTTAAATAAGATAAGATAATATTATAATATTAGATAATTAAATAAGATAATATTGATAGTCAAGGTAAAAACAACAATTAATTTTTCAACTGTATAATGTCATATTTTTGGGCTTTTGATAATCTTTAGTAACAGCCAGTCACATCATGCATTTTAAATAAGAGCTTTAAATGCCTTGTTGCACTTCACACTTATATTGAGAAAAACAGTTTGATGTGCCAAAGGAAATAATAGTTTTTTTTTTAAACTGCTTGAACAAATTTTTTCTATTATTTATCATGTGTTCCCTAAAACATTTACGTCAGATGTTAAGTACATGAATAGTGTTTTGATGCACTGGTGAAAGAATAATTAGGATAATTGTTCTTATTTTAATGCAAGTAAAAGTCACTTTAGTAACATTCAAATGCACCTATATGCCGATAGAATGAGCTCATTAGAAAGCTGATCTTGGATGACATTCCGTATAGTATCTAACATAGTTTAGTCAATGTTTTCTGTGGTAAAAGCTATACTTTTAAGGTTGTAGTCAAGCATTCTACAGTGCGTGCCATAATGCGCTGTAGCGTATTCGTATACTATATATATATCGCTTCGACAACTATCTCGAAAAATGACAACGTTGTAGGAGCGAATTTCACTGAATTTATCAACTTTGCAAAGCTCGAACAACAAAACTATACCGCTGAGCCCTTTTAAATTGAAACCACAGTTGCTTTATAATATAAAATATATCATATTATTTTTTACGAAACATTGTAAGAAGCGTTTTAGAGATATAAGCAATTTTGTTCACAAATCGACCCCCAATTCGGCGGTTTCCTATACCTCCTGTGTTAAAAGTTCAACATTAAAACTTTAATATCTCCAAAACTATACCGCTAAGCCTCTTCAAATTTTGGCTCATGATGAATAATAGCAATCTTAAGGCACAAACAAAATTTTAGAAAACTCGTAAGAAAAGTGTTTTTGATCGACTACTACCTTAAAAAAGGGCATACTCGAAATGCGGGCATCATTTTTTACTAACAGTTTTTTGCAAAACAATGCTAAGAAATCGTGTTTTTTAATTATATATAGCCAATTAACAAAAGCCATACTCTGATAGTATGATATTTGTAGATATTATTAAAACAAAAAAATCGTGCTCAAAACTACTAAAATTAGTTGATAATTAATTAAAATAATCGATAAATAACCTTGGAAAAATTAAAAATTTCATGATTTTTTTACTCCGTCTAAAAATTTTTAACAGCTCTGAAACTCAAAGAGAATGTGTCTTCTATGAGCATGAAAGTACTGAAATCTTGTCGTGAAATATTGTTTAGAACTTTTTTAGAAAATGCATTTACTTATTAAATAGGTATCTTATGTCTTTATTCTAACCTGGATTCTATTATCTAGCAGGGCCCAGCGAGAGCTTATTTTTGTTGTTGTTACGTCTAGTTTATGAATTCACTCATGGCTAATTGATTTTGACAATTTTTCACCAACAAAATAGTCATTAAACAGTGCCACTTTTTTGCAAATAGTTTGCTTAGAATATTTCATTAACAAATTAACATAATAGCATTAGGCAAGAATATTCTTAGAACTAAAATTTTTTCTGACTTTAGGAAATTATCGTTGTAAAGTTTTTGCATGCTAAGATAATTTTAAAAATTTTGTTTACTCCATTTGGTAATTTCACAACACACAGACGTATTAATTTTGGCTGTAGATAGTTTAATACTTGAATTCTTGTATCGTGTATTTTAGATTTTATATTATTAAGGGCTAATTTAAATGTTTATCAACGAACATCCAATCTAATCATTAAGACACGCTTGTCATTTTTATCTCGATTTTTTTTGATCAAACTACTTTAAACTTACACATTGAGAAAAAAAGTTGTAACTGTGCTATTTATAATTAAATTTTAACCTTTTTTTTGTTTGCGGTCGCGTAGTTAAGTTTTGAAAACAATCGTATTGCTATTGTAGATGTTTTTTTAATTAATTCAATACAACAAATAACTTACTTTTGAAGGGCCGTTCTTGAATTAATCGTTCTGATGTTGAAAATATCACTGGCAATTGTTTAAATAGATACATTTTGACAACAACATACATAACAGCAATCTGCAGAGCTGCATGAAAGAAATTATACCATTTTTAAATTGTATAAAACTTATACTAGGGTACACACTTTTCCATATTTTTTTATTTATTTTTTTAAAATTGATTTGGAAAACATTTGAGGACTTAGTACGTCTTTTTCTAGCTTTTAAAATTTTCGCTGCGTTCATGAAAACGAAGTTAAGAAAAGAGGAGAAAAAAAATGAAGAAGTAAAAGAAGGAGCACTCATTTCCTGGGATAAAAAGGTCTTTACTTTCATAGATTTTTCAATCTGCATGAATTGAAAGAAAAGGAAAAAAAAAATTTATTCATAGTTAATCAATAAACAAATAAACAACAATAGCAATGAAGCAGTTCATTACTTTGAAAATTTGCTTGTGAATGACTGACTTGGTTCAATAATGGCCGGCCTTATACAGTCTTTTAGTCGACGAATCGTTGCCAGAAATAGTAGTTAATATGTATTTTTTGGCAAGGTAGTTTAACGTTAGGTGGCCCTTAAAAGAACCGATAAGATTGATGGTTAAGTAAGGAACGTAAACACTGATGATGGCCCTGAAAAGGACTAGTAGTAATATTTCTAGCTATTCCTTATCACTGTTATTGATGATGGAGAGCTCGCTGTATGCGTAGCTTGACTATAATCCTCAGAGTCTCTGCACATGGGGACCGTGCTGGTGGAAGGTACACCTCTGACGAAAGAATATCTCTCCTTTGGGTCGTTACCCGGATAACTAACCGCTCATCGGTAGTCAGGAAAGTGGGCCTGGAGAATACCTTCTCTGTAGACATGCCGTTGCTACGAACCACTGAGAAGTCTTTTGTGGCTACATGAACTCGTGATTGTTCTCCCTGGCTTGCTGTTGTGATATAATATGCTCCTGCAGCAGCACCAGGTCAATTGAAAGAATGTCCATAAAATCCCAAATTGCTAGAGAAAATTGTGCTCTGGCTCGACATCTCCTGATATTTCACTGGAGAAGTTAGCGTTCAAAACGTATTTGTATTAGTGGCACTCGGCAATCATGGTGGATCAGAATGGAGTTCAACGTAAGTCACTTGTCCATTAAGGATCAGAGTCATTGGTAGCCGGGATACCAGGCTACACGACTCCCAGCTTTAGGCTTCATGCACTGTCAGTCAATGACTGTGTATGTGGTACGATACTTGGGCCTATTATAACAACACTTATTTTATTTAATTGTAGGTTGTTTCGATTTAACTTGGACGTCACCTAGCGGATTCAACTGAACCAAAGCACAAAGCTAGCATATTTTTGCAAAACTTTGAGCTTGTTTATTGCTCTTAATACTAACTTTCTAAAAATAAAGAACTATACTAAAACCATTTAGGAAATGTCAAGAATCATTATGCAAAATTTCAGCAAAATCGGTTAAGTAGTTTTCACAGTAAGCGATTACAACGGTTATAGCAACTTTGCTCTATATATTAGGAAGATTATAGCAATATTTATTGAAACCAGACCAAATTAAAAGACACATACTTATTCTGCGATATTTACACCATTTTGTACACAATAACATTTTATAGAAAGTGTATTTATAATAATACATCATCTGCTACGGAGTGTAAGTTACTATTAAGTAAAACTTAATACTGGGATGCTCAAGTTATACTCAGTATTAGTTATTTTATTATTATTATGAAATAATCCAACGTTTATTCTTTGTAGAAAAAAAATATCCTAAAAAACTGCCAATTGGCTTACTGCACATATTTTATATGTTAAATGTAAAAAAATTTTAATTTATCATGTACACTTACGAAAGAATCACATAAAATTTCATGTTTGAGGAAACAGTCTGTAGAAATTTCAGAACTTTTTTTGTATGATAGACAAATGCTTGTTAAGCGTATTAAGAGTTCAAATTGTCCCACTTATTGTTTTTATAATTAAATAATTGAGAAGCAGCTACGTATGCATTGAATCGTATGTAAATATGTATCTATATTACCTAAGTAATTGCCAGCATCACTGCATATTTGCGCTTCTTCTATCTTTCTGAACTTTGACCTCACCAACTGTGATGAACAGGCTTACATAAAGAAATCACCTTTGTCACGAGTAAAACAATTGTTATGTAATAAAATAGTGATAAAGCTAAATAGTGTAGTTATAGAACCTTGTACGAATTAACGATTGAAGAAAAAAAAAAAAACTGTAGAATTGCTTGAAAATATCGAAAAAAATGGAAAAGTATTTAAACGATTGTCATATTATTAATTTAAAAATTAATAGCTTAACGAAAATAAAAAATATTTATACAAATATACTAAAAAAGCAGTCTCTGTAAGATATTTTTTATTATGTTCTGGAAAAGTATATGTAATTGTATAAAAAAAGTCATGTAATTGAAAAAGTATTTGTGAGTTAATGTTATGTGCAAGCAAACTGTATAAATAAATAAGTATAACAAAAACATTTGAATGTAGAGTAACTAACAAACTTTACTTCAATAATAAGATAGAAGTATTAAATAATTGACGTCATTCCCAGCAGAGTAAAGAGGGTGCTTGGATAGTGTGCGTGCGATC